GCCCCTCCCCTGGATTCTTGACTGCCGTGGGACAGAGCCCCTCGTGGCTTCCTCCCCAGTCACCTCGTCACCAATGCCAGGCCCTACCTCTCCCCCCTCCGCCCATCAACTCTTTCCTGTTTTGCTGGTCCTTTCACCTGCCCCATCTTCCACGGTGCCCTCTGGACCTCCTGGTCTGTCCTATCAGCCTTGTCCCTGCGTGTTCCCTTCATCTTCCCTAATCGAGGCATGGCTGTCTCCTGAGAACATTGTTTCCCTCATGCTGACTCTGGTGGTGGCTGTTCTTTCTCCCACAGGCCACATCCTGCGGGACCTGGAGGGGGGTCCGTGTCCCTCCTGTGCTCATCACCCCTGCTAACCTCTCTCCCTCCATCCGTCAGAGACCCGGCCCCTCTGAGGTGCATGCTGTCTGTCTTGACCCCCTTTTCTTGATGCTGTTGACTCCTGACACCGTCCTCACCTTCCCCGGCAGGGGACGTTATCAGTTAGGATATGATATTAATTTTAGTTTTTATTTTTATTCATTAAACATTAGCTTATAGTATCTTATGAACTGTATTTCAAGATAGGAAAGGTGACATTAAAATATGTGTGTTCAAGATACCTGCACACGTATGTGTGTTGCAGCTCTATTCACAATAGCAAAAACATGGCACCAGCCATGTTGCCCATCGAAGCTGGACCGGATTAAAAAAATGTGGCACATAGACACAATGAAATATTATGCAGCCACAAAGAAGGACAGACATATGGACTTTGCAGCAACTTGGATGGATTTAGAGTTGATCATACTAAGTGATTTATCACAGAAACAAAGAACAGCGTGCCATATGTCCTCACTCATAAGCGGACCTTGAACAATTATAATACTATAAGAAAGCGATTGGCAGTAGTGGGAAACAGTCGGGGGTTGGGGGGGTGGAATTGGTAGTTGAGGGAAACTGCTAGAGGAGGGAGAGGCATACCTCATCATCAAGGGTACCTGCATAATCAACGTTTGTATACCTAACCCTGAATTGTACTGAACATCTTTATAATAAAAAAAATAAAATAAAATATATTTGTTATATAAAAAAGGACGTTTGGTCTGATCGCATTGAGGATGGCTGATGCAGCTATTTCATCCAGCACTCTGGTCTCTGCTCCAAAGATCCTTTCTTCCAGCCCACAAGTGGTCACTCCCTAGACTCACCATCACCAGTAACCACACCGCTTCCAAAATCTGGATTTAAACATCCCACCCTCTAACCATCCCTCCCCAGTCTTTGTAATTCAGACTCCAGCATTCCTCCAGTCTCACAGAGACTTCCTGGCATTGACTGTCACTTTCCATTTTTCATTATTCTGTATGCCTTTTGTGTTCACCCTTCCTCTCCAACCTAGGCTCCATGGCCCAGTATGATAACCAATCCTTTGCAAGCACACATAATTCCCATGTCCGCTTGCCTGGAAAAACACTCTACATTAGTTAAACCCAACTTTCTTCTTATTCCACATATCCACCTGAGCAAGCAGTTTGAAGCTGCAGAGAAAAGTCACACAACCAATGACTAGACTCACTTCAGACTCACGGCCATGAGTCTCAAATGGACACTCAACAGAGTGAGACAATTCCACCATGTCTCCCTTGCAAATTCACACTCCTACTTTCCAAGATAATTATCTCCCACCTTCTTCTCTCTCCACCAGTCTTTAACACTTCCTCTCTTATCCTTTCTATCTTAGCTGATGACTGCATGGGAGAAAAAGAGGCGCTTAGATGTGAACTATCTGTCTTTCCCACTATCGTTTCATTTTTGTCTCCACTCATACCCACCAAACCATCGGTCCTTTTCCAGTTGACTTGAGCTGACCTCTCCGCAGCCTTTAAAAGAGCTATCACTCCCTTTCTTGAAACACATCCTTCTCTAGACTTCTAGGTCTCCACACTTGCTGGTCCTGCATGTACTCATTGGTCACTTCTTCAGAGTCTTCTTTGCTGACTCTACCACCACCAAAGCCTCTAACCATTTGAAGCCCAGGTCTCTGCCACTGGCCCTCTTCTCTCCCCAGGAGACCCCAGCCATTCCCAAGTCTTCAAATTCCACCGCTACGCCGATGACTTCTGTCTCCAGGCCAGACTTCTCCCTCCCTCAGCTTCAGACTCCTCTGTCCAACTACCCGCCTGCCCCTTCCAGTTAGGTTTCTGTCAGACATCTTTCTTTTTTTTTTTTTACTGTATGTTTTTTATTTTAAAGTTGTGGGGTACAGTGAAGGGTTAGGTATACAAATATTCATTGTGTGGGTACCCTTGTTGATGAGGTGTGCCCCCCCTTCCCCAGGCAGATTTTGACTACTGTCAATCCCACCTCCCCATTTCTCCTCCCCACTACTGTTTCCCACTACTGTCAATCCTTTTCTTATATAGTATTATGGTAGTTGTTCAAGGTCCACTTATGAGTGAGAACATGACATCTTTCACCATGACCAAAACATAACACTGTGATAGTTGGTGGTTAGTAGTAACTAGTAGTTATAACTAGTAATCACTGTGATGGCCCCGACGACATCCAGGTCCTAAGCCCGGAACCTGTTAATGTTACCTTATATGGAAAAAGAGATGATGTGATTAATTTAAGGAGCTCGAAATGGGGACATTATCCTGAATTATCCAGGTGGGCCCTAAATGTTACCACAAGTGTTCTCATAAGGGGGCAGAGGGAGATTTGAAGACAGAAGAGTAGTAGGAGATGTGAGAACAGAAGAGAGGGGTTGGAGTGATATCAGAAAAAGGCAAAAATTGCAGGCAATTTCTAGAAGCTGAAAAAGGCAAGGAAACAGATTCTCCCCTCAAAGCCTCCAGAAAGAACCGACAGGTGCACTGCTGACACACGTCAGCCCAGTGAGATTGATTTTAGACTTCTGATCTCCAGAACTGTAAGAGAAATGTGTGTTTTTGTTTTGTTTTGTTTTGTTTTTGAGTTGGAGTCTCACTGTCACCCAGACTGGAGTGCAGTGGCCATTCCCAGCCACCGCAGCCTCGACCTGCTGGGCTCTGGCGATCCTTCCGCCTCAGCCTTCCAAGTAGCTGGAACTACAGGCGCGCGCTACCACGCCCGGCTCATTTTGATTTATTATAGAGATGAGGTCTCACCAAGTTGCCCAGGCTGGTCTCAAACCCGCGGGCTCAGGCAGTCCACTCACCTCAGCCTCCCAAAGGCATGAGACTACAGGCTGAGCCACTGAGCCCGGCAATGTGTGTTGTTTTAAGCCACTATATGCGGTTACATCAGCAATAGGAAATGAATCCAGTCACCACCACCATCACCACAAAAATCCATGCCTAGCACTGATGCCATCCACATCAGTGGCACCCCTACTTATCCAACTGCTGAGGCCACAGGCTTCAGAGCTGTCCAGATCTTTCTCTTCACTCCCAGCCACCTGTCAGCAAGTCTTCAGATCTGCCCCCAACATACCTAGGACGCCAGCGATCTCTCACTGCTCTGCCACTATGACCCTAGTCACTGCCATTTCCAACTTGAATGATCACAGCACTTCCTGCTTGGTCTTCCCCTGCCACCCTTGTCTTTCTTCAGCTTCTCATTCCCACAGAGCCAGAGTGAGCCTTCTGAGGGGTTCATCAGATCACATCATTCCCCCACCAAAACCGATCTTACTCGGGATAAAATACAAATTCCTAGCCATAGCCTACAAGGCCCAACAATCCATCGGCCTCTACCCACCTTATCTTCCTCTACTTCCCACCCATTCACTGTGTTGGCCACACTGAGCTTTGTTCATTCCATTCCCACCTCTGGGCCTTTGCACTTGTGGTTGGTACCACTGGAGTGCTCTCTCTCCAGATCTTTGCACGGATCTCTCTCCTCCTCATCAGTAAAGCCTCAGTTCAAATATCACCTCCTCCAAAAGGCCTTTCCACCACCCTCGCTAAAACAGGACCCTAACACCTGCAGCCAGTGGTTATTTATCCCCTAGTATCTTCCTTACAGCATCTGTCAGCACCTGAAATTGTCTCATTGGTGTGTTGATGTGTCTGTTGTGTGTGTCCATGAGAACGTAAGCTCTCTGAGGGCAGCCCCCTCACTGCAGTATCCCCAGCACTCAGCACACAGTAGGCACACAATGAATATATATTTGCCTTGCTGCCAGGTGTGGCTTGTTTCTGACTCTACCAATGCCTCTGGCAGATATAGCTGCACCAGAGTCCTCTCTCTCAGGGGTGTTTGTATTTCAGTAGCACTGGGCTATTGGTGCAAAGGGTTAACCGGCGGAATCTCAGACATCATCTGGCAGGCCTGGGCCAACTATGACCATGGGGTTTCTTGTATGGTGCCTTTAAAAGCACATGGTTCTTTTAGCATCTGCTAAGCCCTGGGTGCCATGGATACATAATAGAGGGAGGAAAAGATATTTATATTATGCCTCAATGGATGAATTTGGATTTTGTCAAGCCAAGAAGGGGGTGGGGCAAATTGCATGTAGGTTCTCAACTATTTCTTTTTTTTTTTTTTTTTGAGTCGGAGTCTCTCACTCTGTTGCCCAGGCTGGAGTGCAGTGGCACACTCACGGCCACCCCAGTGTCAACCTGCTGGACTCCGACGAGCCTTCCACCTCAGCCTTCAAAGTAATTGGAACTACAGGCGTGTGCTACCACACCCGACTAATTTTTTATTTCACTGTGGAAACGAGGTCTCGCCAAGTTGCCTGGGCTGGTCTCAAACCCGCAGGCTCCTGCCTGGGCCTCCCAAAGTGGTGGGATTGCAGGCTGAGCCACCACACCTGGCCTGTTCTCAACTATTTCACGGTCTCAGTGTGGTGGCCCCTCCACCTTCTGCCTCCTGAAGACTCACTGAGCCTGGGAATCCAGGGATGGCCATCCTGTGCCTCAGAGCTAGAGCCAGCACTGATGCCTGTAGATAAACTCGGGGGGACTGTGGCCTTCTCTTGGTGACCCGCTTCCTCTTACTTGGCCGTTGTTTTCTCCTCTCCCTGCCCAGGTCTCATCATCCACGAGGGACCCTCTGTGTACCGCATCTTTAAACGGTGGCAGGCCGTCAACCAGCAGTGGAAAGTGCTGAACTATGACAAGACAAAAGACCTGGAGGAGCAAAAAGCAGGAGGCAGGACCAACCCTCGGACCTCCTCAGCCACCCAGGCCAATATCCCCTCGGAGGAGGAGGAGGCAGCGGGCACCCCTGCCCCTGAGCAGGGCTCTGCCCGGTCTGCCAGTCACCCCTCAGGCCCTCTGTCCCATCACCACTGTGCTTACACCATCCTGCACATCCTGAGTCACTTGAGACCTCATGAACAGCGGAGCACCCCGGGCGGCAGCCGAGAGCTTGTCATGAGAGTCACGACAGTGTGAAAAGAAGCTACCTGGGAGGAAGGCAGTGGCCGTGGCCGTGGCCGTGGCCGAAGGGGCCGGGGAGCGGGGGTGGGGAGGCATGGCGGCACCCACAGGCCGGCGCAGGGAGCAGGCAGATGGTGGGGGGCCTGGAGGGAGCCCTGGGGCCGGGTCAGAGCGGGAGTGAGGCTGGCACCAGGTGCGACTTTGCGATTTCCAGCCAGTGTCATTCTGCATGACAACGGCCACAAAAACCAACACAGAGTCAGGCGACCAAGTGCAATACAGACCGAACCTAGCCTGAGAGAACAAAGCCACCCTGATGCCCCCACAGGCGAGGCACCAGAGAGAGAGGCTGCAGAAGGGTGAAACCCATATGTGACTGGTGGTGGTGCCAAGGTCAAGGGGCCAGAGGAAAGCCTCTGCGGCCTGCTCTGTTCCAACCTTGAGTTTGTTTTTGTTTCTCCCTGGGCCGCCAGGGGAGGGGGAGGGGCGGGTGTGGGCTGGCAGGGACACGCACAGCTGTTGGGACCTCTGGGCTCACCCGGGTGGGCAGGACTGGCTGACCCAGAGGGCTGTGGGGACGTGGGATGGTGGGGAGATGGGATGGTGCAGGGAGGGAGACGTTGGTGCGAATGGCCGGGGGAGGGTGTGTCTCCTTCCCGAAGGACCTTCCAAACTGGAACTCCCCATTCCCGGGGAGTTCAGAGAGGGCTTGGGTTTGGAGATGGGTGTCTTTCTGTGCCCTTGTTACTTTATTTTATGGTGATTTGGCTCAAAGTTGTTTACAGGACACACACATGCACACACGCACACGCTAGAGAAAAGTCCAGATTTCCGGTGGGTATCTCAAGCACAGTTCTGCTGCTGTGGCATCAGCCTTGGAAACGGCCGATCCGGGAACGACTTTCCCAACTACCCAACCCCACCTGTGGCCAGAACACGCTCAAGTGCCATGCCCCCTCCTGCCTTGGGCACACGCAAGGTTCAGTCCCCCCGCGGCAGGGCACCCCTCCCCAACCCAGGATCTCCCAGGAGAGCGGCTGCAGTGGTCTAGAGGAACATGGCCAGCGTGTCCCAAGGGGTGGGGTGGAGACCAACCTCAGTATTTCTTGCTCCTTGGGAGCCTCCCTGAGAGGCAGTCAGGCTAATGCTCAGTGCTTCGTGCTCCCTGGTCATTCCCGGGCAGCCAGGGAGGATCAGGTCCCCGGAGCCCACCTGCTCGCTCCCGGCCCCCTGCCGGGGAAGGCCACTGGGTGGTCACCTGCAGAGTTCTGGTTGTCATTGCACAATGGCCGCGTCATCCGTGGGTATTCAAAGGACACTGTCGAGTACTTTTTTAAACTAGTTTTTAGGGTTTTTTAAAACTCTCTGTTGTTTGTAATATTCTCTTAAGAGCTTGAAAATAAAACTTCTTTCCCTACCATGAGTGTCCCTTTCCATATGTGAGTTTTTCCTTCCTCTTCCCTGTTCTCCCTCCACGACGTCACCTATCTTCTTTCTCGCTGTCTGCTCTGCTTCTCCATGGAAAGAGGTCAAGTGCATTTTCATTTCTCCTTGGAGAGTACAGGTGGGCAGGGCAGACAGGATGTTCCCTTCGGCGTGCATGCGTGTGCACATGTGTGTGTGTGGCCTCTTGGCTTCCTAGTGGACAGCATCCTTCAGTCCCAAACCCTCCCAAGGGTTCAGCCCAGGAATCCTAGAAGCAGAGACCATTGGTGCTGGGAGAAAGCTTGGGGCACTCCATCCCTTGGGGTCATTTTACAGAAGCTGGGGGAGCCACAGGAGAGGGGTGTTAAGATATTGTTCCCCTGACAGTTTTCCTTTGAATTTCAGAGAACAGTGCCCAAGTTAAGGTCCCCTGAGAGAGCTTGGATATATTCCAAGGCAGCAGGGATGATCTTTTTTCCCTTCAACTCGACCTGGTTGTCCCTCCTTGGGGCTGGCAGTGAGTCAGGCAATGCCATCAGTGGGGTATACACAGGCTTGTACGATTCAGAGGGCTAGAAGAGACCTAATAATTGGGGAGACACCAAGGACCACATACAAGGAAAACATACAAACAGCATACAGTGTTGCACAACAATACTGTGTAAGTAAGCCTTGTAGAGTAAGGGTGTCTATTTCAGTGCACTCTAGGGACCAGCCATTCAGTTTAGTTAAATATTTATGGACACTATAGATGTGTTACATAGCCTATCTATTTTCAAAAAAGTAGTAAAGAACCGGCCTGGTGGCTCATGACTGGTCCCAGCTACTCAGGAGGTTGAGGTGGGAGGATTCCTTGAGCCCAGGAGTTCAAAGTTCAAGTCCAGCCTGGACAACATAGTGAGACCTCATTTCTTTTCTTTTCTTTCTTTTTTTTTTTTGAGTTGGAGTCTCACTCTGTCGCCCAGACTGGAGTGCAGTGGCTGCTCCCGGCCACCACAGCCTCGACCTGCTGGGCTCCGGCGATCCTTCCGCCTCAGCTTTTCAAGTAGCTGGAACTACGGGCGCGCGCTACCACGCCCGGCTAGTTTTTGATTTATTGTAGAGATGAGGTCTTACCAAGTTGCCCAGGCGGGTCTCGAACCCGCGGGCTCAGGCAATCCACTCACCTCAGCCTCCCAAGACGCGGGATTACAGGCTGAGCCACCGAGCCCGGCTGAGACCTCATTTCTTAAAAAAAAAAAAAAAAGGTGGGGGGGGCATTAGAATACAACAAAATATGCATATCTGCAAAATTACATTGCCTATCATGTCGTGTTATCTTTCTGTGGTGGTCCCCGGGGCACTTCAGAATCTTGCAGTCATTCGGGGGTCACAATGAGAAGTAGCCCAGAGAAATTGCTAGTACATCGTCCATGAGTGTGGCTCATGTATGGAACTAGGCTAGCCTCTAAAGTTCTTACTATGTGTAAGGTACCAAATTAAATGCTTTATAATACCAACAGCCAGATGAGGTAAATACTATCATGATCCACATCTCGCAGATGCAGTGAACACTTGAAATAACTCGCCCAGAGTCACCAGCCAGGACTCCCAGATGACCTGGCGTTGATTGATCATGACCACCCCATCACATTTCGTCAAGACAATCAGCACTCATTTAAGGGAAATCTGGGGCCAAGTCAGACAGAGGTTAGGATGGCAGAGATCTACAGGAAGCTTTGAAGGTTGAGAAGATTGAGGCTAAATAAAAATAAACTATTTCTGCCCCCTTCAGAAAAAAAGCGGAGTTTATCTAACAGCCAGTTCTTGCAGTTATCCAGAGAATTTCCTGGTTGAATAAAGCCTGTATAATAGTTAGTTATATTTGGGAACAAGGGAATTTTGAAATAGAAATAGTTGAACCATATTTTTATGGGCAAAGGACCAGGTTCCAAAAGGGTTTCAGAGACTCTTCTCAAAGAAAAAAACAAAAAGGCAAAAGGTTATCCTGGGCCGGGCTGGGTGACTCAGCCTGTAATCCCAGCATTTTGGGTGGCTGAGGGGAGTGGATTGCCTGAGCCTGAGGGTTCAAGACCAAACCTGGCAACTTGGCGAGACCTCATCTCTACAATAAATCCAAAATTAGCCAGGGATGGTAGCACGTGCTTGTAGTTCCAGCTACTTGGAAGGCTGAGGTGGACGGATCGTTGGAGCCCAGCAGGTCGAGGCTGCAGTGGCCAGGAGCATGCCACCGCACTCCAGTCTGGGTGACAGAATGAGACTCCAACTCAAAAAAAGAAAAAGAGAAAAAAAAGGGTGTCCTATTGGTGATTAGATTTTTGGCCCCGGTTCCAAGCAAGTGGCAAAGACTGTCAGGGTGGAATTTCTACTCAGTTCATAGCATTTAGGAGGACTCCATGAATATGAAGGGAACTCAAAAAACCATAATTATCTTTTGGGGGTCAGGCCCCTTTTAGTACAGGCTTCCCCCACTAAGAACCCGTCGGCAGCAGTGTACCGGCTAGCATTGTTGTGAGAGGCTATGTCCAGCTTCGGTGAACTTTTTTTTTTTTGAGATTCTTTTAAGCGCTTGCCCATTTCAAGATGGGTGATTTACCAGCACACCTGCCCACACCACACTGAGTGTTCAGCAGGTTTTGGCTGAAAACGGTATGACCCCTGTGCCCTACCCTTCCTATTCACCCCACTTGCCCCAAGTGACTTTCTTTTGTTTCCTGATGAAAAAAGTCCGCAAGGGAAATGCTTTTGCTGATGTGGAAGAAGTAAAACAAAACAAAACAAAAACCAGCAGAGGCACTAAAAGGCATCAAAATGGAGGAGTTCAAAAACTGTTTTCAGCCGTGGAAAAAGCATCTCGATAGGTATAGTGCATCAAACGGATAGCACTTTGAAGGAGACTGAAACTTAAACATGCAAGAATAAATACACAATTTTTAATAAATAAATTGGTTTTGGGGGGGTTCCCGCCTCCTATGAGGCCTTGTCCCTGTCTCTCAGGAAAATCAGATCTGTCGCCATCTTGGGGCACAGAAACTCCAAAATCACATAACGTATTCATTCGGTCTCCATGAGATGATTTACTGCTAGTCCTTGCTTTGCCCATGAGATCCAGATGTATAGCAGAGGGTAGGGGCATGGCTTGATTTGACAATAACCCATTTCGAAGGGTGGTGACGCGCTTTGTAAGCAGAATTCATTGTATTGTGCAGCTGAAAGGGCAGTGAGGTGGGAGAGAGAAGTACGTTCTGCATTGTTTCTCGCTATTGTTTCTCAAATTATCCCACTTCGTGGTAGTAAGTGATCACAGATGATTTCACCTCCGAGGGTCTGATCCTCCAGCAGTGATGGAGTTGTCCTAACACCTTCTCCCCCTGCCTCCTCACCCACTCTGAGGGGCGGCTCCAATGAAATACGGGAACTGGGAGGTGCTTGCGGGTGCTGTGGACAGCTGGGTGACACACCTTAGATCTAAGCCTGGGGTCTGGACGGCACCGGGTTGGGGGCCGGCTACTTAACAGAGCACTTGCTATTTCCCCCATCGATCCTTTTTTCTCTTATGCTGCCCCCGCCATATCCCCCCCTACTCCTCACCTAGCCCATCACAGACCACGAATCCGCTGGCGAAATTTCTTCCTGCCCAAGTCCACCGCTTGAGAGACGTCAATGTTGCCCTGGCTTGCAACCATTGGTCATTGAGGTGAGTCTCTCTTCTTTCAATGTGGTACCCAAAACACATCCCAAAACAGCTCATCATCACACTCAGGACAAACCCAAGAGTTCAGTAGATGTTTAGGGATGTTGAGGAAGTGTGGCCTGGGGTTATGGAAGAAAAGAGAAGCA